CTGCTTTTTGGGGGAATAACAGAAGTACTCGTCTAAGCTGATCTTTAGAGTATGGTTCAGACAGAATACCATGCAATTACTACAAACCATGAAAATTTCCAAATCAATCTATATAAGGATGGATGAATTGGGCAGCTTACCTTTCCTACAAATTGGATTTCATTTTTTTAAAATCTCAAGCCTTATCTGATCAGATTACGAAAATAAAACCTGACAGAATTACAGTATTCCAAGTTCTTGTTTTAAAAGGAGTCAGGTTTAAGAGGGACAGTTATTCCTAACATGGAACATATCAGGTTACACCTGTGCACCCATGTAGCTGTTAGAGGACAAAACAAGGTAAACAAAAGAAAATTTAATTCCATGCTTCCAGCTTCACATAGACGCCACCTAAATCTTTAGTTGCTAAGCACGCAAAATATCCCTGACTACACCGACACAATCTGTTTCTATTTTTTTCCCCACACTGGAATATATATTTTAAACATGCACTGTTAGGATTTTTGTCACGTGCACAAAAGAAGAAAAGGTTAAAACGATATAGATCAGCAGAGGACATCACCTCGTCAACATTGGCTAAAGAAAAAAAAGGAAGAGTATGCACAAAAATGGAAGGACAATGGCTGAATGACTGCTAAAGTTGAAGGAGTTAGCAGAGATGGCTTAATTGACTGCTTTGATTAAAGAAAAGAATACAATTAATTTTGTTTCTACTTGGAAACCGCTTTTGGACTTTGTGTTTGAAGTGGGGAAAAAAAGCAGCTCTGATTTTGGGTCTTTCTTAGCAACAAATTTTGGGCACAGTTGTATGGATAAGTTGAGGACTGCCTGTGCTTCGTTTCACACCCTTTTTCACGTGTCTCTTTTTATCTATCTTTCAGCTTCTAATAAATTTTAAACATCTTCCTTTTCCCAAAACAAACCCATCAGAGCACAGATCTTGGATAGTTTGCAAACAGTTTTTCTTTTAATCCACAGCTTTCCATCTGTCGAGATTTCTGTCTGTTGATAGTTTTGCAGAGATGCTATCAATCCTTTTTGATAGCGTATCACTCGGAGGGGGCAGGATTTTAATGAGTACATCAACCATTTAAAATTACACTTTTTTTCCAGCTATAATGAATAAAATTTCAATATATTGGTCGGTAATTTAAATTGGGGTGTGTTTTGGAGGAATTAATCACTTGGTTTTGGTTTTCGTTTTCCTCTCCCTCCAAATTGTATAGCTTTTGTACCTTCTAGTCTGTGACTCCTAAATATTACAGAAAAGCATTCTTATGGCATTTTCCTATTTCCAAGTAATTTCTTTTCTGTATTTTAGCCTAGCATCCCACTGATACATTGGTGAAAACACCTTCTTGGTGGTTGCCAATGAAAAGGACCGCAGCTAGTAATAGGCAGGGCTAAATATGTCCTTTTCATTGAATTTCAAGAAATCCCCCAAAGACATTTGGCTCCTGGAAGTGCCCACCAGCATATTGAGAACCAAACTGAATCCAACAATCAATAGGAATTAAATTATAAATAGTTAAATTATCCAATCTGGAGCCTTAGCAAGCAAGATGACTGGATCGTGATGCATCTGTACCCCAATCCATATTTGCTTATTAAAATAGCACCTGGTCTCCCTCTGTTTCATCCTATATCTTCCATTCTGCTATCTTCCAGATGCTTAGTTAATTAGCTTTAGCGAGGATGAAACGACCTCCTTGAGATTCCATTTCATTTCTTGGGATCTGGGTATTGATCTCTTTGTTTCTCCAGAGTCCAGGGAAGTCACTGATCTCTTTGAGTCGTTTGTTTTGAAGTCTATAACACAGGCCCACATTGTGGACAGGATCTCTGAGTCACAGCGTTAAAAAGCTCCTGGGGTTTGTTTGATCCACAGCTTGTTTTACCCATGCTTTATGGCATTTATTTCCTCTGCTCCAGTAACTCTTCCATATGGCAGAGCAAAACAAACACACTCCAGTTCACCTCCCGTGTAAACCACCTGGCCTGTCCATCATCGTGGACACATACGGACACATACAGGCAGTATTGTCAACAACAATAGAATAAGATGTTCCCATTTTGAACTGGCAGCTATAAAACTGAAGAGCTGGTGTTTATTCCAGTCTCTGAAAAAGTCGGATCCAACTCAGAAACAGAGAAAATACACCAATTCTGGGCTTTGCATCCTATATTTTTTTTCCTCTCCTCAATTTCCTCAATTCCTTAATTTTTTCCCTCAGCATCTATCAACCGGAGAACTGGCCAATGAAACATTCTATCTTTTGACTTTTCAAAACCCAAGATTATATAGTTTATGGTACAATCCCTGTCCCGCAACCATTGCTGTACCTCTGGATGTTCGCAGGAGATGTGTATAGAAGACAAATGAACATTGTGAGATCATGATGTGAGGGCCACATTTCCTGCACTTGTGTCTCGATTTGCACACAGGCGTATAAGGGGCAGAATTTGCACGATAACCTTGGTTTCATCATTTTGATATGCCTACAGATCCTGCAGACACTTATTTCAATCAGCCTATAGGTTTTGCAGATACTTCCCATCCCTTCAAGCCGTTGTCCTCTTTGCGTGCATTTTGTGGTCCAGTCCTTGCAATGCTCTGGATGCTGCAGGATTTGGCCTGTACCTGGAGGATCTGGAAGTTGATCCAGTTCATCAGCAGACAGTATAACAGGGCCCCACTTAACCAGCCCAAATCTTGAAGAGAAGATTAGAGAGGTTGATAGTTTTCTTACAGTTGTTTCGTTACCCAAACTAGGTAACATCATCAGTGCTAGCAAGAAAACAACCAAGCTTAGGGAGCACCGAGTATCCCTCATTTCAATCCTACAACTATTCTCAAGTTGCTAATTTTCACAGTCTTTTAAGAATGTTGTCTTCTCAAGTTCAACCCCTAGTCCTTCCCCCCCCCCCCCCACCATTCTCAGTCATAAATATCAGGGGATTTCCAGAACTTTGGTCTGGTGTTTTTCCACTTTGCCTGGAATGGCAAAGGATTGAGCCTGGGAAAATACAGTATGTGTTGGGGTTGTGGTTCCCACCCATATTCTTCCTCTTCCCCCCCCCCCCCCCGATCTTTCTTTTTTTTCTTTCTCTCTCTCTCTCCTTTTGCTTTAGCATCCTCTAGTGGTAGAATCTTAGATAGGACAGAGAGAGAAAAAGGCCTCAACAATTCCTTCATAGGAATATCCAAGGATTAGTCCAATTTTGCACCAGGTTTATTTGACACCTTAATTTCCCTCAAGTGGAGCCTCAGACCACCTTGTAATCTAATCTTCTCTTACCTGATCAGGTCGAAATCCCAGGTCTGAAAGGTGTCTGTTGCAGGCAATCCTTGGTTTACAACAACAATTTATATTCTTACTCCTGGGAGGAATTATCAGGCCCTGTAAGGCATCTGTCATCTATCAAGCAAGGGGCTGAGATGCTTGGCATAATTTGTCCAGCTACCTTCTGATTAGGATTTTGACTAATCTGCTGGGAGCCACTGACAATTAATATTGATGAGAGCAGAAGAAAGAAATGGGAGGGGGGTGGATCAAAACTAAATTTGATTTACTTTCACAGTAATTTAAATGTAATTAACATATCTCCATATGATCGTGGTCTGTGTGTTTAAGAATGTTCTCTTTCCATCACATTAAAAATTACAACTTGGTTGCAATTGGGGGGGAGGGCTGCATTCAAGCGTTTCTGTGAGTAGGGGGGGGGGAATGGAGTATACTTAGGTTGTTCCTCTCTGCAATAACTTGAAACAAGAGCTGGACCAAGTGCTCTATTTGAAGGAGTAAGTGCTACTCAACTCAAAATTATTTACAAAATTATTTATAATATCAGAAGGACAGGTTAGAATTCTACTGTGGGATCCTTGGTGCTCTCTGAGCTTGGTTGGGTTTTTGGGTTTTTTTTGCAGACATTTCATTACCCAACTAGGTAACATCACCAGTGCTAGACAGGAGTGGAGTTTGCTCTCTATTCTAGCACTGATGATGTTGTCTAGTTGGGTAATGAAACATCTGCAAGAAACCAGCCAAGCTCAGAGAGCGCCAAGGACTCCTCATTTCGGCCCTGAGCTGCAAACATTCTCATCTATTAGAATTCTACTTCCTGCCTTGCAAGATTGGGGATCCCAGAAAAAAAAAAAGCCTTCAATTTTGTGACCCAAAAGTCTTTTCCAAAAGACAAGTGGACTTTCTTGGTCGCAACACAACACGAGCAAAAAAAGCCAAGTTATCAACCCTACAGTTTAGATATGAAAAAATACAAAAACAAAACAAAGCAGAAGAACCAACGCAGATGAGAGAGGACAATGAATGGCATGTCACAGAGAACAGACCGTTGGGTGAGAAATCTCTCTAACAAACAGCTTGCTCAAATACCAAATAATGTTTTATATCAAGAAAGTCCAGTTGTTGTTTTTTTGGAAAAGCACTTTTAGGACAACCATGACCTGGATGATTGAGAATGTCCATAGACCTTAATAATAACAATAATAATGTAGGAAGGGACCTTGGAGGTCATCTAGTCCAACTCCCTACTCAGGCAGGAAACCCTATACCATTTTAGACAAATGGCTGTCCAGTCTCTTCTTAAAGACTTCCAGTGTTGGAGCATTCACCGCTTCTGGAGGCAGGTTGTTCCACTAGTTAATTGTTCTGTCAGGAAGTTTCTCCTTAGTTCTAAGTTGCTTCTCTCCTTGATCAGTTTCCATCCGTTGCTTCTTGTCCTGCCTTCTGGCGCTTTGGAGAATAGCTTGACTCCCTCTTCTTTGGGGCAGCCCCTGAGATATTGGAAGACTGCTATCCTGTCCCCCCTCGTCCTTCTCTTCATTAAAGCAGACATACCCAATTCCAGCAACCGTTCCTTATATGTTTTAGCCTCCAGACGTTCAATTTTGCAAGTTCCACACTGTCCAGAATGAAGTTTCACACCAGGACCAGATCTGGGACCATCCCTTTTCTTATCTTCACTGTGTTTCTTTGCAGGGATCTTGTTTACAATGCTGGTGTTTGGACCGGCCTGTGGATTTATCCTGGGATCTTTCTGTACCAAAATCTATGTGGATGCTGTTTTCATTGACACAAGTAGGTAACCTTTCCACCTGGGTTGCACATAGAATAAGAAATGTTTTTTTAACAGCAGGCCACAAAGCATCAGAAGAGAAAGAAGGAAGAAAACCTTTGTGTGTGGAAAGATTTGGGGTGTAACTAGATGCTCTGCCTGCTATCCAGCTTGTTTGAGTTTTTATTTAATTGTATGTTCAATTGAGAAATTGAACATCAAGCCACTGCTCTATTGTACCCAAGAAAATTACAAGAACATTTTTAATTATATTTATATTTGTTGCAAAGTGTATTTATATATATATAAATAGAAATAAAAATAGGAAAAAAATAGAAAAAAGGTGGGTACTTTTGCTATAGATGATACGTTTTATCTTCTTGTTCACTTGCATTTATACTCATTAACATTTATACTGTTAATTTTTTCTGGGCTTCATAATAAAGCCCCAAGGCCTGCATCCAATGTGGGTTTTGGTTTTTCGTTTTTTAAAAATAATTTTGCAATATTTTCTCTATGTGACCACTAGAAGTCACTATATGACCAGTTTCATTGTGTTGGAATTTGTTAGGCATACTTGTGATATTTATTATATAGCAGGGGTCTTCAAACTTGGCCCTTCTATGAGGGATGGATCCCTGACCCTAACTGGTTATATTGAAAGGCTGAGTCCTGAGTCCTGTTCATTCATCTCCTGAGTCCTGTTATCCCATTGGCGCTCTTCTCTTAGCTGCTGATGTCCTTGTCTACCCCAATGAAGACCCCTCCCCATCTCTTTGTTCTTTGCAGGCAAGCTGGATATCACCCCTGATGACCCTCGGTGGATTGGCGCATGGTGGGCCGGCTTCTTGCTTTGTGGTGCCTTACTTTTCTTCTCGTCTCTCCCGATGTTTGGATTCCCACAATCCCTGACTCGCCAGCCGGAGCACATAGCAGAGGTAGAGGAAGCCATGTTGCCAGAAGGGGACTATGAAAGGCCAAAACCAAGCAATGGGATTCTTCCACCGCACTCCATGGAAGCCAACGATGATCTATCTTGCTTCCAGCAGCTGAGAGGTGACGCACTTCCTTCATAGCCCAGGTGGCTTCTGCGGGAGCCAAACAGGTTAATGACTAGCTAGATTCCCTACCCGATGGAGACCTTAGATTGCCTTGCACAGCTTAACCTCTTTCCCTTTTTTCATATGTATTTTATTGATTTTCTATTTTTGCAATCAAGTATTTAATAGACAACGCGTTGACTGGGTCCATTAGTAATTCAGTGGTACATACAGGTGGAACTCGAAAAATTAGAATATCGTGCAAAAGTTCACTTATTTCAGTAATGCAGCTTAAAGGGTGAAACTAATATATGAGATAGACTCATTACATGCAAAGCAAGATAGTTCAAGCCGTGATGTGTCATAATTGAGATGATTATGGCTTACAGCTCATGAAAACCCCAAATCCACAATCTCAGAAAATTAGAATATTGTGAAAAGGTTCAATATTCTAGGCTCAAAGTGTCCCACTCTAATCAGCTAATTAAGCCATAACACCTGCAAAGTGTTCCTGAGCCTTTACAGTATGTACAATCCTTGTTTTATTGATTGCATGTAATATTCTAATTTTCTGAGATTGTGGATTTGGGGTTTTCATGAGCTGTAAGCCATAATCATCACAATTATGACACATCACGGCTTTGCATGTAGTGAGTCTATCTCATATATTAGTTTCACCTTTTAAGTTGCATTACTGAAATAAATGAACTTTTGAGTGATATTCTAATTTTTCGAGTTTCACCTGTATAAGCTTCTTCAAACTAAATCCAATATTACACCATCCAATACATCCTCTCTTCTTCCGGTAATGGACATTTTCCCCACTAAGCAAATACAATTGTTATTAATAAATATACAGTGGAATATCAGCATCTTTGTTAACAGTTTTCTAATAGTATCAATGATATCAGTTTAAAATATCTTTTTTAACCAAAACATATCTTAGTTGCATTTGCACTCAATATCCATTTATTCAGTCAGTATCCTATTTTCGCTTTTCCTGTTTCCTATCCATGTTCAAAATATCCCCATCATTTATAATTTCAAAGCAAGTTGTATTTGGGTAACCTTATAAGCTTCCCTTATTCAAACTTCTTAGCATTTTCTTATTTTTCCTTTTCATGCCAAGATACGATATTCTGATTACAAATCTTATTCATCTAGTTATAATAATACTTCTACTTCTAGCAATCTATTCTTAACCATATTCAAACACCTAATTAATAATATAATATCCCCCAACTTCAATCCCTCAGGACTAACACCCAAGGCTTTAACTTTATTTTATTTTTTCGATCAAATGGTTGGTAGAATAACTTCTTTCCCTTAAATCGTTATTCGGCCAACCATTTGATGGGGGCAGGAAATAAAAATTAAAGCCTTGGCTGTTAGTCCTGAACACTGAAAGGACAACTGAATTAACACTTGATCCGGTTCACCTTCTTGGGTGACCATGGCTTGACACAGCAAGCAGTTTTTCCATTTGTTCTCATGGCAACCTTTGATCCCTTGTCAGTAGAACATTTGCTTCTAGGATCAAATAGTCTGTTGTATCTTGCTCTCGTCCAGTGATGGGTGTGCATTACCGTGCCACTTTAAAAGTCACTGTGAGCAAAAGCATGGTTGCTCTGGAGACAGGTGACTCCTTTTTTGAGCCAGCCACAGAGATGACTTTTCATCTGAGCTACAGAACTGCTGGTAGTCCTTGATATAGGACAGTTCAGATAGTGACTGTTCGAAAATACAGTGGTGTTGAAAAAAGTGACTTCTGATTATCTTTCACACTTATGACCATTGCAGCATCCCCAGGGTCATGTGATGATAGATAGATAGATAGATAGATAGATAGATAGATAGATAGATAGATAGATAGATGACAATCAACCAGCGGAACAGCTTATTCCAGAAATCATGGGCACTCCATTACTGGAGATTTTTAAGAAGAGACTAGACATTCACCTGTCTGGGATGGTATAGGTTCTCCTGCTTGAGCAGGGGGCTGGACTAAAAGACCTCCAAGGTCCCTTCCAGCTCTATTCTATTCTATTCTATTCTATTCTATTCTATTCTATTCTATTCTATTCTATTCTATTCTATTCTATTCTATTCTATTCCATTCCATTAAATTACATTACATTACATTACATTCTGTGATTCTATCCTATCCTATCCTATCCTATCCTATCCTATCCTATCCTATCCTATCCTAATTCTAGATAGATAAATAGATAGATAGATAGAATAACTTTGTCCATTTAGATGTACATTACTCAGCATACATTAAAATGAAATTTCATTGCATTCAGCTCTCAAAGGGTAACCACCTTTGAGAGCTGCATAAACATGACCAAAAAAAAAATCCATATACCCACATACACATATATGACATAGAGAAACAACACAGTCTAGTTCGTATGTATACATACAGTATACATGGTGACCCCCCCCCAAAAAAAAAATCCTGCAAATTTACAAGACGGAAAAATTCAGATGCTTAAGTAACGGAGGTTACTTAATATGATGGCATATCTGGCATTCTCCTTAAGGGGCCACTTGCTCAGCTCTGCTTTCTCACTCCAACAACTGCTAGCTGGAGCACCTGGAGCAAAAGAAAAAGAAAAGTGCTAAACCACCATTAGACAAGGTGGAAAAACAAAGCAGGTGTGAAGTGGAATGAGAAATTTGCAGGAGGGAAGCGACCCCCATTGAAGACTCAAGCAGCACTTCAACCAACATAATTTCAGCCTAAATGATCTTCACTTGGAATTTGCACAAGGGTTGGTTGCCACATATTAAAAAATGTGAGACTTCTCTTGCTCACATTAGCATCCCATCTGCCTCAAACTGAGTTATCTCCAGTGTAATTAAAATCCCTCCCCAAGTACAAAGTTGCTCTGGCTGATTCGTTAATTGAGGAGTAAAGTCAGTAAAGTAAAGGAGTAAAGTAAAGTCCTCAGCTTTTGCATTCGCTTCCTCAAAGCCAAGAGGAAGCTTTCTGGAGTTTTGTAGCCAAACAGATAATCTGGGGACAATCATAAGAGTGACATAAATAACAACAACAACAACAACAACAACAGCAATAGAGCTTAGAGTTATATACCACTTCACAGTGCTTTACGGCCCTCTAAGTGGTTTACGGAGTCAGCAAGTTGCCCCCAGCAATCTGGGTCTTCATTTTACCGACCTCGGAAGGATGGAAGGCTGAGTCAACCTTGAACCACATCAGGATTGGACTCTAGGCTGTAGGCAGAATTTGACTGTAATACTGCATTCTAAGCACTCTGCCAGCACAGCAGCAGCAGCAGCAGCAGCAGCAGCAGCAGCAGCAACAACAACAACAACAACAACAACATAATAATAATAATAATAATAATAATAATAATAATAACCACTTGAACACCATTGGCATTGACAAATTCGCCATTAGTCAATAGCAAAAGGCGGCCTTACTAGGAACTGCTTCCATCTTGTGACAATATCTGTAATACCATCAAACATCCACATCTGCCTATCCCAGGTCCTGGGTAAGGACTTGATAGGTAGACAAAATGCCAAATCCAGTCTGAACATCTGGCTGACTGTGCGATGATCAATAATAATAATAATAATAATAATAATAATAATAATAATAGGCATTTTTCTATCTATCGAGTCCTTACCGAGGACCTGGGATAGTCAAACATCCACATCTGCCTATCCCAGGTCCTTGGTAAGGACTTGATAGGTAGACAAAATTGCCAAGCCCAGTCTGAACATCTGGCGAACTGTGTGATGATCCATAATAATAAAGATTTCAGATGCACACAAACATGCACGTGGGATGTAGCTATCGCAAACTAGAACATCCAGCTGGCAGAATTGTAACTTCACTATTATTTATCATATGGCACATTCACCTCACATTTCAAGAAAAAAGCGAGAGATAAATATACAAAAACATGAGATATAAAATAAAATAAAACTTCACTGGCATTTTGGAAGATATAAAGACATATGAAAGCAACATGCACCTTCTCAAGAGGTCTGTAGCTGGCAGGAGATGGTTGATTCCAGTCAGTTACTACCAAGAGATCCCTATTTGACCAGTGGATTATTTGCCATTGGTATAAAAAATGAAGCAGGACCAGTGGTGGGATTCAAATAGGTGAACAACCTGGTCTCTGTGTGGATGCTGCTTCTAGAAGCCCATTCTGGGCCTGGGCAACAAAAAATTAGCTACCAGTTCTGCCTAACTGGTGCGAACTGGCTGAATCCCACCACTGAGCAGGACCCATTTTAACACAAGATCTGGAGCATATCTAGAGACCAGGCTGGAGCTTAGCTTTTCCATAGTTTTGTGCTATTGACCCAGTAATCAGAATCACGCAATGCATTCAGAACCATGCATTCAGAACCATGCAGTGCATTCAGCGATCACTAGATGGTCCTGTGTATCTCTTAATAGTCCAGGTCAGTTAGATTGGCAGTGGAATATATACACAGATCATAGATACCTCTTGTAGCTTTCCATTAATATGGTCCAAACACAACAAAAGCAACAAAGGATAAAATCGCAAACAAAACTTAAATGTACAAGAAGAAGAGGGATATTCTTTTTCCAGAGCTGGGACTCACTGAGCTCTTGGCATGACTTTTTTTTTTCAAACTGTATGCAGAAAAAACATATTTCTCTAAGAGAAGGAGAGACTTCTCCAACAATTTCTTCCAAAGGTGGAACTCCCATGGTGGTGACATTAGCACCAATATCCAAAAGGCTGCAGGGATGGAAAGATGGACAGCAAAGACCTGTCTAGGGATGGATGGAAAGAGGACTTTGCCAGGAAGGAGAGGATACAGGCACATACACAAACACACCACTACCTGTCTATGGAGATGCTCAGTCATCCAGGTCATGGTTGTCCCAAAGGTGCTTTTTCAGGACTTTCTTGTTTTTGTTTTCTTTGAAGAGGTTTCTCTTCTCATCCAAGAAGCTTCTTCAGCTCTCACCAGATAGTGGGGAATGGAAGGATTTATATTCCTTGCAGACAGCTGGTCATTTGCCTTCTACCCTGATGACCTTCAGTGGATTGGAAATAGACAAGCAGAAACCCATGGCTTAAACTCACTGGTCAAAACTTCATCTGTAGATCCTTTTAGCTGAACCAGCTATGGTTTACCCCACGGGCCAGGTGCGTCATGCTAAAACCATGCCCACCCCATTGCTGGCAATGGAAAAAAAGTTGTGATACGTGTTACGTGACATTGCAAGTTTGACACCCCTGGTTTATCTGATTTTGCCTCCACAGCTGGAGTCATCCCATGGAATTTTCTCCCTGTCCACATGGGATGTGTTGATAGATGGTCTGGAGAAAACCCCAGAGATGCACTGTTAAGGAAATTAAAGCAGGGCACAGTGGATAGAAACCTTATTGTGAAATTGTCCCTCCCTTCTTCTCTCGTCCTCCCTCCAGTGATCCCAAAAGTAACTAAGCACTTGCTGTCCAACCCGGTGTTCACCTGTATTGTTCTTGCGGCTTGCATGGAGATTGCGGTGGTGGCAGGTTTCGCAGCCTTTCTTGGCAAGTACCTAGAACAGCAGTTCAATCTCACAACGTCGTCGGCCAACCAGTTATTAGGTAAGTAGCCAGAAGGGGTCAACTCTTCCTCTTCCGGTGAAAGGTAGAACCTAAATGTCAACTTCCAGCTCAAGCATTCCCCCCCCCCCAAAAAAAAACCAGGATTATTTTCATTTCTGAAAAGCTTGCTGCTTATTGAAAACATGGCCTGGTAAAGGCAAGGTAAAACTAACTCTAAAATCCCAAGGCATCAGATATAGCGAATAGAATAGAATAGAATAGAATAGAATAGAATAGAATAGAATAGAATAGAATAGAATAGAATTATGGAATAGAATAGAATAGAATAGAACAGAACAGAACAGAACAGAACAGAATAGAATAGAATAGAATAGAATTATGGAATAGAATAGAATAGAATAGAATAGAATAGAATGGAGTTATGGAATGGAATTATGGAATAGAATAGAATAGAATAGAATAGAATAGAATAGAATAGAATAGAATAGAATGGATTTATGGAATGGAATTATGGAATGGAATTATGGAATGGAATTATGGAATAGAATAGAATAGAATAGAATAGAATAGAATAGTTGGAAGGGATCTTGGAGGTCATCTAGTCCAGCCCCCTGCTCAGGCAGGAAACCCTATACCATTTCAGACAAATGGTTGTGCAATCTCTTCCTTAAAACTTCCCGTGTTGGAGCATTCACAACTTCTGGAGACAATATAAAAATGACTTTCCCAGACAACCCACCCCACCCCAGGAGTCCACATAGCTCATGTACACATGTTCTCTTTGCTATGGGATCCGTGTGCTCTCTTCTACACACCTGCTAGAACGTCCTTGAAAGTTTTCCATACTGCCAACTTTCAGCAAGCTTCCGTAGAACTGGGGAGGTTCCTTTCTCTCCCTCCCCCACCCTTATTCTAAGGGCATGATGAAAACAGAGAGGCATGTAAGCTGCCAAATTTTCACCCTTGACACTAAGAACCAAGAAAGCGCCTTGAGTTGGGATCAGCCTGAAAACTCAAAATCCAGCCCTGTTCTGTTTCTTTTACAGGCATGACAGCCATTCCCTGTGCATGTTTGGGCATCTTCCTGGGGGGCCTCTTAGTGAAAAAGCTGAGCCTTTCTGCACTGGGTGCCATTCAGATGGCGATGTTGGTCAGCCTGGTGTCCACGGCTTGCTACGTTTCTTTCCTTTTCCTGGGCTGCGATACGGGACCCGTGGCTGGCATTACCATTCCCTATGGAAACAAGTAAGTGAGGGAAAGAAAGGCGTTGCTCTCAATGGGATTTATAAAAAAAAAAGTGGTCCTGCAAGGCTTGCATCCCACCCTTACAGAAGACCCTAGGATGGCCTCATAAAGTTGTAAGAGACTTAAGAGATCCCGAAATCCAGCACGACAAACCATCCTTGATAGGTGACTATCCAGCCTCTTTTGGTGGAATTGTTGCTGGATTTAGCAGGCATAACTAGGTTTGGCAGAGAAAGTGGGGAAGGCCTATGCAAGAAGCAGAGGGAAAATGGGAATAGGAATCGTCATGAAAAGATGTTTTTTTTTTAAAGGTAGTTTATTCCAAACTTGGAGCCAGTTCAAGTTGTTCTTTAACAACTTGATGGATTCATGGTTTGTCTGTTCTTTACAATATCAAAGGGTATTAGAACACCCCTGTGGGATAGATAGCCTGGATTGACAGATAGAGACAGGTTCAAAGTCATCCTCAGATGTTCCAGAACTTCACAATTCCTTCCTTCTTTCTTTCTTTCTTTCTTTCTTTCTTTCTTTCTTTCTTTCTTTCTTTCTTTCTTTCTTTCTTTCTTTCTTTCTTTCTCTTTCTTTCTTTCTTTTTTCTTTCCTTCCTTCTTTCTTTCCTTCCTTCCTTCCTTCTTTACTTTCCTCTTTCTTTCCTTCCTTCCTCCCTCCCTCCCTCCCTCCCTCCCTCCCTCTTTCTTTCTTTCTTTCTTTCTTTCTTTCTTTCTTTCTTTCTTTCTTTCTTTCTTTCTTTCTTTCTTTCTCTTTTGATTCCTTGATGAATCTGGGCCCCTTACAATTAAAAAGGTTTTACTATCTGTTGATTGATCCCTTGCCCTTACCCATTCACCCACCCACCCACCCACCCACCCACCCATCCTTCCTTTTTTTGTAGGTCAACCATCTCCAGCTTGGCCCCTTATTCTGCCTGCAATAGCAACTGTAAATGTCAAATGGATTCCTTCACTCCAGTCTGTGGGACCGACGGCATCACGTACTTATCTGCCTGTTTTGCTGGCTGCACCAACATGGTAATCCCTTATTTCTTCCTTTCTTCAATCTATTTCAGTCAACTGTTCTCTCCTTAGTTCTAGGTTGCTTCTCTCCTGGATTAGTTTCCATCTGTTACTTCTTGTCTTGCCCTTTACTTTTCTCCTTTTATCTTTTTTCTTTACCTTTCTATTGTATTTTAGTCTTATCAGCAAGCTGGGCTTGAGCAAAAGGTGGAGTGGAATTGGAATGTAATTGAATGCTTCCATTTAGAAATATTTTCCCTCCGGGAAACCCAGAATCTTCCTTTTATCTCTTCCTTTCCAGGGATCTGAATTTATGGTAATTTTCTCAAAGTCCTCCTTACTTGAAAGACTTAAAAGAATCAAAGGAAAAGTATAGTGACTTGGTTCCGATAAAAGGTCAAATTTTTCCGAACTGTTTTGCTGTCTCCGTTGGCAAAGGAACAACAGAGAGAAAGATTTTTGCCTCTTGCCAAGATCTTTGTTTGCATGAAAAGAGCAACACCACATTAGTAGAGTAACCCCACATGTGTCAGTGGGGCTCATTATCATGCTGGGATTCTGCAGAACTATCTATTTCTCTTCCGAAATCAGCCAAGGTCAACTCAGTGTAGCTGAGTTGACCTTGTAGTCTTCTAGCCATTTCCGAAGCTACAATAACAGTCGTGGTATAGCTGGGTGCTTGGTAATATCTGGAAAATGCCTACGGAAATCTTAGAAGCCAGAATAGAGTCTCTAGATCAGGGCTTTTCAACCTTTTCACCCATTGTACCACTTTTAGGATATGGCAACATCCAAGTACCACCAGTCACCTAGCAAAGTGTCAAAAACTTGATAACCAAAAAATGTGAATCGGTTGCCAAGCATCTGAATGTAAATCACAAGACCCTGGAGATGCTGCAACATTCCAGCTGATCGGCGCTTCTTCTGGGCTCAGCAGAAGCACCAGGATCAGTGCTGCTTTCCAGCAGATTGGTGCTTCTTCAGGGCTCAGCTGGAGCCTGGCGCTGATCCTGGCGCTTCCACTGAACCCTGACAGCCCTGAAGAAGGGCCGATCAGATGGAAAGTGGCACTGATCCTGGTGCTTCTGCTGAGCCCTGCCAGCCCTGCAGCTCCAGCCATCTCTCGCTCAGGCTTGTGCGGTGCTACCACCGGTTCAGCTCATTCCCCTCCCCCGCTACCCCTTTTCTAGGATGGTTGCGTACCACCTTCCAGGTGCCAATGGACCACAGGTGGTACCCGTACCACTGGTTGAAAAGCCCTGCTCTAGGCAAAGGAGGGCATTCTTTGCTGCCTCCCACTGTGTCAATCTCAAGAGGTTCCTTAGTTCTTCCAGGAGTTTTAGGAGACGAAATGCAAGAAGGTTTATCTAGAGAGGGTGCTTGATATTCATTAACCGAACTAGGTAACATCATCAGTGTTAGAAGGGAGTGGATTGTGCAGAGAGGAGGGGGACTATGAGGTCCTTGATGCTCTCTGAGAGTTGTTTTCTTGCAGACATTTCATTAACCAAACTAGGTAACATCATCAGTGCTAGAAGGGAGTGGGGTGTGTGAGAAGACGAGGACTATAGGGTCCTTGGTACTCTCTGAGCTTAGTTGTTTTCTTGCATTACCCAAACTAGGTAACATCATCAGTCTTTGTTTAGAGCAGTGGTTGAACAAGTATGGTCTAGCACGGGGTAGGCAACCTCGGCTTTATGCTGACTCAGGAATTCTGGGAGTTGAAGTCCATGAGTCCTAAAAGAGCCGAGGTTGCCTACCCCTGGTCTAGGATCTAGCCACCACTATATTCAACTTGTGTCCCTCATGGAGGGTCAAGGTCATCTGCGAGATGATACGCAACAGGATCTGCTGCCTCAACCATCTCTTGCCTTCTGTCCTAGAATCTCACCGGTTGCACCTGCCTCACCTTGGCCCCGGCCGGGGATACCACAGTCGTTCCTGGGAAGTGCCCGAGCCCTGGATGCCAAGAAGCCTTCCTGACATTCCTCTGCGTGATGTGCGTCTGCAGCATGATTGGAGCCATGGCCCAAACTCCCTCCGTCATCATCCTCATCAGGTGAGGCTTCCAATGGCAGGGCAGAGACAGAGAACCCTCAAGAGGAGGAGGAGGAGGAGGAGGAGGAGGAGGAGGAGGAGGAGGAGGAGGAGGAGGACGAGGAGGGGTTTCAACCATTCAGTTGTGTCCGATTCTTGGTGACTTTATAGGCAAGTACTCTCCATGCTACCTTGTCAAGCCCAGCTTCTTTCAGTTGTTGGATGTTCATTCAGACTAGAGCTGGAAGGGACCTTGGAGGTCTTCTAGACTAACCCCCTGTTCAAGCAGGAGACCATAATAATAATAATAATAATAATAATAATAGTCAATTGCAAAAGGCGGCCTTACTAGGAACTGCTTCCATCCTGCGACGATACCTGTAATACCATCAAACATCCACATCTGCCTATCCCAGGTCCTGGGTAAGGACTCGATAGGTAGACAAAATGCCAAATCCAGTCTGAACATCTGGCTGACTGTGCGATAATCCATAATAATAATAATAATAAAGTTGGAAGGGACTTTGGAGGTCATCAAGTCCAGCCCCCTGCTCAGGCAGGTAACCCTATACCATTTCGGATAAATGGTTGTCCAATCTCTCCTCCAATGATGGAGCACCCACAACTTCTGGAGGCAAGTTGTTCCACTGGTTAATTGTTCCACCCAGCTTTGACTGTAATCTTGATCAACTTACTGAGACACTAAGATTATCCTTTGAAAAAGCATCAAACGTGCGCAACACCAGAGCTCACAGCTCTACACCCTTCCTGGGTTCCCCCCCTCCCCCCAAAAATCAAGGGTAAATAATAACTCGGGACGTGTGTGGTCCCAGGAGATACCTTTCGGAGGCCCAGAACATTACCAGCAATCCCTAGATTTTGATAAGCCTGTTTTTTTTTCCCAGTCTGTTTTGTGTGAGTGCATTTATGTGTGTGCAGTTCTGGGTTGCTTGAGAGAATTTAAAAAGTAAAATGGCAGTTAGAACTAGTAATCAGTGAAACAGCTTGACTCCAGAAGTTGTGGATACTCCATCACTGGAGGTTTTCAAGAAGAGACTGGACAGCCAGTTGTCTGAAATGGTGTGGGGGTTCCTGCCTGAGCAGGGGGTTGGACTAGAAGACCTCCAAGGTCCCTGTTATTCTATTATTCTAAGAGGCTTAAAGGCTCAAACCACCAAACCACTTTCCTTCTGAAATAGGAGAGCAAGTTAATAGGGCACACACCCTTTTGTTTTCTGGACAATTTTTCCTCTGCCCTTACCAGTTTGAATCTCCCTTGCAGGCTAATGGTTTACGCCATTTTCTGTTTAATCCCAGCTTGGTGCACAGCCTTTTTCTTGCCTTGCATCAGCCTCAGTGTAATGTGGGGTTTCCAATAGATGAAAGAGACCCGGGAGAAGCTAATTAGTATGTCCTCTGAAGGTGCTGCCTGGCCACTTCACAGCAGAGCTCGGTGCTTGATTCCGGCTTTTTATCTCCTCGGTTGCAGCCGCTTCAAAAATTAACTTTCTCCTTCAAGAGCAAGGCATCCCTCAGCCCTTTGAGGCAGGCAAGGTCAAAAAACAAGCACAGCAGGGACTCTGAGGAGGCTGTTTAAGGCTGTCAGTTAGAAGAACAAAATCTTGAAAGCCTACCAGAAAGACAAAACTTGGAACGTCTGTCTTGGGGTTTCTTCTTTCTCAAGACTGAGAAATATTTTCTGAAAGTCGCCTTTTTGTGGTTGCCTCATCGCTTCCCCATTCCCAGTTTTGGGTCCACATTCCTTCACAACTCCTAAGGACTAAAATCCTTCTATCTGAGTCTCTCTCTCTCCCCCCCCCCTCTCTCTCTCACACACACACACACAAATGCACACAATTACACAGCTTCTTTTTCTGCTGCAGAAGATTTTCTCCTGCTTTGGAAGCCAGGAACTAATGATAGGAATCTGATTGAAATTTATTTGTCTGTCTGCCTGCCTAACCATCTAATCTATCTATGGTATTTATCTATAGTATCTGTCTATCTCTCTCTCTTTCTTATCTATCTACAATGTCTGTCTGTCTATCTATCTATCTATCTATCTATCTATCTATCTATCTATCTATCTATCTATCTATCTAATATCTGTCTATCTATCTATCTAATATCTGTCTATCTATCTATCTATCTATCTATCTATCTATCTATCTATCTATCTAATATCTGTCTGTCTGTCTATCTATCTGTCTAATATCTATCTATCTATCTATCTATCTATCTAATATCTGTCTATCTATCTATCTATCTATCTATCTATCTATCTATCTATCTATCTATCTATCTATCTATCTACAGTATCTGTCTATCTAAGCTAAGCTAAGCTTAGCTAAACTAAGTGAAACTAAGCTATAATCTTAATGATATTTGCTTGAATATCTCTTCCATACAGAACTGTGAGCCCGGAGCTCAAATCATACGCTTTAGGAGTTCTCTTCCTTCTCCTCCGATTGTTAGGTGAGTGAAATTCATGCCTCCTTTTGCTTCCATCTGCTCCTCCAGAGAAGCAGGGACTCCTGATGAGAGATGGATCTGGATGATGAACCCAGATTTGGTCCAGCTGGAGAGCCTTCTTCCACCGAGTGTCCTCCAAATGTTTCGTATTATGTCACAAGTGGGTCTTTTTTGCAGTGGTTGATTCTTCCCCTTGGTGCAAGTTCTGTAGAGATCAATACTGTATGAATAGGATGTCAGCTCATACATCTGAATTCTCTGAATCTATTCTGAATTTTCTGGATTTGCATTAGACTGAACTCTAAAGTAACCAACATATTGTATTCTCACAACACTTTACACTATAGAAAACTAACCAAACTTACCCACTAGCCAAATTTCATATTATACACAGTCAGATACTAGGTCTGTAACTATATCTTTCCCTTGTCAGATCTATAGGAACTTGATTTCAACAATGGTATAATGTCAATATTTCCAGAACAGCATCAGTGCTCTTAGTTTTCGGTGGTGACCTGCCTCTTAAGAAATCCCTTGCTGGAGAATAAGAGTGAGATGTTTCTGCATTGACTTCTGGAAGCCATCTCTTTGGCTTCTGGGACAATATAATGGTGGACTGCAAGAGATCTTGGATCCACCAGATGTTCCTCTTAAGTTTGTAGAGAGTATAGATGTTTCAGAGAATACTGCTGATATAAAAAATATCTCCTTCTACCTTCACAGGCTTTATCCCACCTCCCTTGATCTTTGGAGCAGGAATTGATTCCACCTGTCTTTTCTGGAGCACCTTCTGTGGTGAACAAGGAGCATGCGCCCTATATGACAATGTTGTCTATAGGTACCTGTACGTGAGCATCGCTATTACCCTGAAGTCACTTGCATTCCTCCTGTACACCACTACCTGGCAGTGCCTGAGGAAAAACTATAAGAAATACATCAAGAACCATGAAGGTGGACTCAGCACTGCTGAATTCTTTGCCTCCACTTTGACCCTGGACAACCCAGGACAAGACCCCCTTAGCCAGAATCCCTCTCATAGGACAAAATTTATCTACAACCTTGAGGACCACGAGTGGTGCGAAAACATGGAGTCTGTTTTATAGTGATTAGAAAGCTGGACTGGCTAACCCAAAGGTCCTTTTGGAAGGAAGATATTTATGAAATATGTAATATATACATACTGACATGTTTTGGGAAGGTTCTAAGCAAAACCGAGTCCACAGCTCTTTCAAAATCTACCATTACGTTCCAGGAGCTTCTCCGGAGGAAGAGGACGTTTGTCCTTTTCTCCAAAGCAGATGAACCAAGACGAGGGGGAGAAAGAATAAAGACCAATCTGGAGTGAGAAATGGTAACGCCAAGTGGATCATCGTTGGATCAAATGCCGTGGCTAGAGACATAACAGATGGGCAGTGTTTGGGGACCTGGTCTTTCATTGGAGAGCAGAGCAGATGTCTGCCCTTGGGTGGATAGGCAAACCCATGAAAAACAATTCCCAATGAGGGAGGAAAGAGCAGAAGCAAGCCACAGCTGTTTCCAAAAATAAGTGCTATTTGAAACTTAAGCACCGTTGGAGTAACCTTTGCAATACAAGCTTAAAAGGCGACCACAAGGTGCTATGCAGTCCTTTTTCAAGCTCTTCATCTCCTTCTCTCTCCTGTCAGAGGAAGCCCTGCCAGAACTGCTTCACCTTTATTGTCTCCAGCTGCCAGTCCAAAAGGCCCAACCTCAACAGCTGTTGAAATGGGCAAGCCAGTAGATGGGTCTGGTACAAGCCACGGTGACATCAAGTTGACATCGTGTGCTGAATAAGCGCTAGATCCCAAATAAGAGTGAGATGCTGAGTAAGAGTTAGAGAGCGCCATCATTTGCGCACATCACTGTTTGGATGCCCATTGTGACTTGTACCCAACATTGATGCAACCACAACATTATAGTTCTTAAGACACCAGCATTGCTTTTCTTAACTATTTGGGGGAAATCTAGTTCCATTTTGGTATGGGAGTTGGGACGGGGCATTGTGCGTGTGTTTTGTGTGTATGTGTGCAGTTGCGAGGGACAGAGCACGGGATGATCTCACCCAACATTCTATAACTTTTTCCACTTTTTAGCAGGGTTGAAAAATGGTGCGAAGGTCATCGTGACCAAGGTTGCCATTGAAAATGGGCAGAGAAGGTCTGGTTGAGCCATCACTGCCTTTTAAACATCTGTACATTTTTCTAGTTTTGTGTCGGCACTGGAAAAGGAACATTTTCAGTACATTTCCATTTGAATCAGAATATTGCTACCCCAGAGAGAAAGAGAAGTTGTAAATGACCCACTTTATGCCCTGAGCTGCTCAGCTAATCAGCGTCCCCAGTTAAAAAATGGTTGCGCAACTTTATAGACTCCCTCCAATGGAAGCTACAAAAGGTTTTTGATCTGAGAAAAAAATGAAAAAGCTGATAAATATATGTGCCTTTTTTTTTAAAGAAAAAGAAGAAGTTTGCTTTACAAGAATCAGATGGAGAGAAGGTGGCCCACTTTATCAAAGGGTGCAAAGTCAAACTTCCTTTTTCAAGGGACAGTCAAAGTCACTAAACATACACAGATTGTCTCTTAAACTTTTAAATAGCCTTTTCCTTTGGCTATAACCAGAGAGAATTTCCTGAGAAATTCTTTGACTGTCCCTTGCTGTCCTAATCACCCAGAATGCCCTCGGGGGGCTCCAGACCAGAGAAGGCATTCTGGGGAAAGTAACAGCAGCCAGCTGGCTCCCTTGAGACGGGTGCTCTTTCACGTTGCCACAAAGGGAGCATGCTTTCCAACGAAGAAAAGGCAAACTTCTTTTATGTCCTGTTTATTGAGGCATGCCTCCCAGATGCGCTGCACATCTGAACATCACATTGCATGCAAAGGATTGGTGGCGTTTTCTGTAGAACATACTTCTTCACCCACATATCTGTATTTAGCCATGATCATCAGTGGTAGATTCCAATTCTGGGCTACCCCCTTTCCTTGCTGGAACCAGAACTGTAATGTGTCCTCTCATTCCTTTCCCCAGATTCTGACTATTTTCTGCTTCTTCCCACTTTGATCTGCAGCAAAGGCATATTCAATGCAAATGAGGATTCAGAGATTTATAGTATATTATATAGTATATTTATAATATATTCCGCTGGGAGAGGCATATATACTGTATATATGGAAGAACCCAAATTAGCTCTGTGCCTTTTTTTTCTATTGCTCTTGATTTAATATTTTCTCTTCCGCACTTGGACATTGAGATTAATTTATTTTGTTTAAAAAAGGGGTGCTGAAAAAGAAACACAATGAAGCGAGAGAAGAATTTACAGATGTTTGACCTTTTAAAATTGATTTTCTGAGGCTGAATTGGACACTTTGCTGAACGGGATGGTGAGAGCTAAATGTATTTCAGTTTCAACCATGATCTTTGGATTTAAATGTGCATGGTGACTGTGTCCAAATAGTTCTTCAACCTTGCTCTGATTTGACTAATGTTGACAGATGACAGTGAAGAAGTCCAGATGGCCCCATCTGTGGTTTGTTTTCCATTATAGCCAAACCAGAATCCTTGGCTTGTGTCTCTTACAACAAGCCAGTCCCAGCTAAGAAAAAAAAAAAGCATGTTGCAGTCTGCTTGCCATCAGTAAACCCAACCCAACATCCAGCCACATTTTCATTGTTTGGGAGCTACTTAGGAAACCAATTCTGATTTCACCATGGTGCTGAAAACAGTGAGCTGAAGTCCCAATAACTAAGTGTAGGATCTTAAGAATGGCTCTGAACTTCCAAAGAGATTTCTAGAAGTGATTTCTTAGGTTATTTCACATAAACTCCCTTCTTTGTGCTGTCCTACAAACAGGGATTCCATAAAGTTGAACCTGCAGTTCTAAGAGAAGATGTTCTAAGTCCATTGTGCACATCTGTTTGGATCCCTAGGGACATCAAGCCAACATTTAAAGTCCGTAAGGCAGGGGTCCTCAACCTTGGCAACTTTAAGACTTGCGGACTTCAACTCCCAGAATTGAAAGCTGGCTGAGGAATTCTGGGAGTTGAAGTCCATAAGTCTTAAAGTTGCCAATGTTGGAGATCCGTGCCGTGAGGCATGTGTTCTTCTTACTCTGATCCAGAAAGGCATCTGTGTCAAAAGCTCACCTTTTTTTTTTTTAAATAGGCATTTTAAAATTACAAACGTCGAAATGAACCGTTTGATCTATTGGATGAATTCGAAGAGTGGTGAAAATCCAAGGCTAGGTTTGCAGACGTGCTTGGATCCAAACTTTTATGCAGGTCTGGGAATTATGTAGACTTGTATCTTATACTGTAGGATAACCTTACGTGTACAAGTATTTCCTACGGTATAGGATACAACGTGTGAACTAAGCCAAAGAATTGTAATCTGCCAAACATTCCGAGTTCCTTCCCACTGCTGGCGGTGGAGGTGCTGAAATATTTTAAAGGTAGCAAGTTGAATGTTTTTCCTTGGAACCAAGAAAATATTCCATGGGATCCTTGGTGCTCTCTGAACTTGGTTGTTTTCTTGCAGATGTTTCATTACCCAAACTAGGTTCCATCATCAGTGCTGCAAGGGAGTGAGGTTTGTGGAATGGAAGGGAGGAGGAGGAGGAGGAGGAGGAGGAGGAGGAGGAGGAGGAGGAGAACTACGAGGTCCTTGATGCTCTCTGAACTTGGTTGTTTTCATGCAGATGTTTTGTGCTCCTGCACTTGGAAATGAGAGAACCGGCTTTGATCATCTGTGCATGACTTGCATCTCCCTTCGTGGGACTCCTCTCATAAACCTCAGGCATCGTCATTGCTTCCCCCCCCCCATCTCTTTCCATTTCTTTGAATCCCTAGGAATGCAAAGTCAAAAGAAATTGAATTGCAAAAGAAATGCTTCTTCTAGAAGAGCCATCCTATTGTCATCTCCAAGAGCTTCAGGTCCAGCAAATGCTGCTTGGTGGGGGCCCTTGATGGAATGCTCTTCACTGTCTATTCTACTTATATCACAGTCCAAGGTCATTCAAACAAGCAGGGTGAATTATGAAGGCCTGTGTCTTTGCTCCTTTGTGTTTACACAGGCCTGTAGGAGACATGGGTGGTTAAGCCACTGTTTAAGATGACTTTGAGTTGGCAACCTCCCTGGAAAACCTCCAGGGGATTCAGTGTTAGGGTCCTTTGTGTGGGCTTTTTGCTTTTTTGAAGGTAGTTAGTCCAAAATTTGCAGGCCCACATTGCCAGTTATGCAGGAATGTTAATTGTGAACAGACAGGTATGGTCATTTAGAGCAATGTCACCGAGCAATGAAAAATAGCTTTTTTTAAAAAAGAGAACCAATAATGCTTTTTTTTTTTTGGTATGCAAATCCCTTCCCCTCCATTTAGCTAAAAGGCAGAGGGAGAACTTTTCTGAAGCAGACACAATAGCTTTGAAGTCATTTCCACTAATAAGTGTTATAATGTCACTCCACCGGAACATATATTTTAGTACAATAGTAGGGGGGGGAGAGAAAAAAAAACATAATTATCAGGAAAAATTATCCTAAAAGTGGCTTGAGGGGAGGAAGTAATAGAGGAGAGGGACATGGACCAGAAGATTGACTGGGCGGGGGTGTTATCTGTGGAGTGAGTGAACTAGATTGATCCGTGACTTAGGAAAGAGGCATGAAAACCTTTTGTGTGTGCGTGTGTGTAATGCTTCAAAGTTCTTCCGTTGTTGTTCTTCAACTTCCAAATTTGCCATACACTAAATACATAAACAACTTCCAAATTTACTCCAAATATGTGTAAATTTAAAACCTGAATAGGCAATTCCAGCAAAATGAAATTGTAGAATGCTGAGCTGGAAGAGAGTTGTTTGGGACTCCATGAAAAGCACCTTCAGGGAATGAAGAAGGGCCAGTACAATAAAAAAAAAAAAACGTTATTCCAGGCATGCAGTCAGGGTTGCCATTTTTACTTTTGGACCCCTCCCCATGGATGATCCTGACTCCGTATTAATGCTAATCGCCTCCTGGCGTAGCTATCGCAAAATGCCCTCCTTGCATTTAAGAATGTAGCTTAGTGAAAGGAGAACTGCTCCTGTTAGGCTAACTGGCTTTAGATTGGTGGACCTTGTGAAGGTCACAACTTGTGAAAAAGCTAGTTTAATCTGTTGTAGCCACAGGGTTTACTCTTCTAGAACTTCAAATCTCTTCCAACATATTCCTCTACTTTGCTATTCCCTGAAAGAAATACATAATCGTCTGTATTCCAGTGATATTATTATTATATTATTCAGACAAACACAGAACACATCCTGATCCAACTCTTCTTGATGAGGATATAGAAGCTTGGACAACCCATTAAAAGAAATAATAAGTGGTTGGCAAAAGGGCTTTAAATATGATCCAGTATTTTCCTTTCATCCAATCTCTCCTTCTTTTCCTCTCCCTCTCTTCTCTCTCATCTTTCTGAATGGCTGGCCACTTCTTCCATGTCATTTTTTAAAAAATTTGTATTCCTTGTTTCTTAAAAGACAGAGATATATTTGGAATTTAGTTCTCCTAACAACCCGAACGCAGGCGGTAGCTCATCCAAGTCTTGCTTAAAGTAAGAATGTAGTGGTGTAGAAGTTGAATGAATCAATGCATAGTGAATGAGCGAAGGGATGAGTGAAAGTTTCATGATTAAGCCATGACTTCATGATACACCAAGGTGAATTCAAAAGTTCACTTGCCCATTCTTAAGACAAGAAGGATACGGACAACACCGTTGGGTCCACCATCTTCCTAAGGAACCTTCATCTTTCTGTCTGTGTTTTGCTCTGCTCTGCTTTGTGGACTAGAGGGTTCCTGCATGATTACAAGGGTGGAAAAATCAGGTGGAAGATTTGAAATTATGCAGGGAATCTAAACAAGTGGAGCAAGGTCCCATGAGTGCTGAATGTTCAGAAAAGTCAATACCAACATCTCCAGCAAGGAACACAGGGCTAACAACATTGATTTTGGTCTTCCCTACAATTTGTAACACTGGAGAGGGTGAGCTTTCTGAATGGAATCCAAGTTTACTTAGAAAGATCATTAGGGATACACTATGGGCTTTTTCTGTTAGTTTTATTTGTTGGTCCTTCTTATTCAAGATCCAAGATTACACAGCGGATCATCACAGATGTCAGCAAAGATTCAATATAAGTGCAACTGGCATAAATCGAACAGGGCTTGTAAACCTTCAAATGTCATTTTCTGGAGCAACGCTGAAATAGGGCCTTTGCGTTTAATTATCATTGTTCACGTCTTTCATTATGTTACAGAATGATTATTTGAAATATGGAAAACTAGGTTATAAATTGAATTAACTCAGCTTTACCCAGTTCCAAACCCTCAAGGAACTGTAATAGTTCCAACAAGAGGATACTAGCATGTAGAAGTGTGAAATAATAATAATCTATAATATAACAATATCATCCACTAGGACTAGGTGAAGGCAACTATAAGAAGTTACAACCATCTGTACATACCTTGGTTAAAATATTATAATCTATTTAAAGATGCGCTAACATTCAAAATTTCTGAAGTAGATGTTCAAAGTGTTAAAAACCGCAACTCCCCAACGTCTCCCTCCAGTCAAATTTTCTGCTGGCTGGGAATTCTGGGACTTGCAGTTCTAATTTCTCTGGAGACCACTGAATATGGAGGGCTGCGTGGACAGGAGAGTCCCTCCTGAACATGACATAAGAACGTGTATATTGGAGCGCCACAGCAATAAGAAAACTCTTGGCTATGTCACTCCTGCAGAATCAATATAACATTCTTGGGGAACAAGCTAGTGATAGCCCTTAGACTTATATATACTACTTCACAGTACTTTACAGCCCTCTCTCAGCAGTTTGCAATGTCAGCATATTTTCCCCCAACAATCTGGGTCCTCATTTTACTGATCTCAGAAGGCCGGAAGGCTGAGTCAACCTTGAGCTGATCGGGATCGAACTCCTGGCAGTGGGCAGAGTTAGCCTGTAATGCTGTATTCTAAGCCCTGCACCACCACGGCCAGTTTGTTGCAATATTAAATCAAATCATTTAGTGCCATTCAACGCGTGCCAGTTTTATGTTTTTGTTTCATTTGTTTTATTTATTTATTTTTAAGGGCAAGATGGAAAACACATCTGCCCCTCTTGGTTCCACTCTACCTGCCACAGAAAAAAATCCATCAGTCTTC